CGGCCAGCTTTGCACCGAGGGAAGTCTCGGGTGAGCTTTATGCCCGTGGGGTGGAAGTTAAATGCTGCCCGAGTCATCCTGCCTCTGCCTCGCCTCGGCAGATGCTCCTCCGAGCAGCCGTGAGTCACTTCGGGTAGTTTCAGCGCTGTGGGTAAGCCCGTGGTGTGAGCTGGCACCACCTCCTTGGCTCGCCCAGGAGCTGTGGTGGGTTGTGTCATCCAAACGTGCGGCCCCACGCAAAACCAACACAGAGCAAACTTAAATGTAGAGAAACGAGTTTGCTTCAGGTCCTTCCTTGTAGGTGCCCCCATTAACACCAGTTCTTGCCATTCAGCAGCAGCCCGACACAAGCAGCTCTGCTTCCAGGCTCTCCAGTGAAACAAGCCCTCCACCATTTCACCATGCAGAGAGGTTCATCCCTCCTCCCTTCAGGTCTCTGCTAACCTGGACAAAGACCACGGCATGTTACATCCCAGCTTTAGGATTGCTCTCGAGTCCTTGGTTTGGGACACTCTGCTCCCAGCCTGGCTTTGTGTCCCAGCGGTTGCGGTGCTGCCCAGTACACTGGGGTAGAACAGCCTTTTTGTTCTGCCTTTGCACAGTGTCTGCAACTTGTGGGTCCTGAGCTATGAGTGGCACTTCTGGGGACTTCTGCAACATGGATAATAACGTGTTATGAACAGACCTGAGAAATGAAGGTTAAGGTAACCCAGGAACATGTTGGACAATCATGAAGGGTAGTGCCCTTCTTTACCGCTAACTTGCTTTCCCCTGCGTCTGTTGTGTATGTTAAGTGCATACATATATATGTATTACATGTAGTGTATACTAAGTACATATATATATACACTAGTACAGTATATTCAAGATTGCATCACTGTAGTTCAAGCTAGAATATACTCCTTACTTTGCCATGCATCTGTGTTGCTTCTCTTCTGTACAAGTTCTGTTTCTGCTTATGTATTCCTTACCAGAGGGACAGACGCACATGCTGGCATGTTTCTGGTCAGGTTCTATGCAGAGCAGCAAAAGCTCTGAGATAAGATACTTGAGTGATACAGGTAATTTCCAAAGAACTGTGTAAAACAGAAAAAAATGAGGTTTTCTTGACAATGCTGTCACAGAGACCATTTTGAGGTGGTGAATGTCACCCACCTCTGCACCAAAATACAATCCAAGTAGCTCACAGAGGGCCTTTCAAACACAAGAAATACATGCTTTAAAAGTGTCTTTAGACATTGTCATTTATGATCCTTGTAATTCATGGAAGTGACTCCTCCCTGGTTTGGCAATAATTTCATATTGCTGCTTTACAAAATATTTTATCATTCGCTGTTGTTAGGAGGAGGGGTGAAACTGAGAACACTAAATACTTTTTGACAATGTATTTTTCATATTAAATACCTTTTGTTTGCTTACCCATCCCTCTTGATAAGCACTATTTGTAGTGCAGGAGAAGCACTGCATGCCTCCACAGGCTCTGTCAGGCAAACCTCAGCTTCCCCTGTGTTCTGAGCTGACCAGCTGTGAACTGGAAGACTTCTGACAGCTTATTAGTCCGGGGCTGCACTGCACTACTGAAGTTGTACGACTTCTTGTTCATCTGGCTTGCCTTTAGCAAACTTGGAATGCGAGCAAAACAAGCTCAGATACAACAGAGAGAGATCCACAGCCACTGAGAGTGGGAATCATATGGCATTTAGACTATAGGAGTCCAGAGTCACACTCCTGGAAATCCCCCTCAGCTGTCACCTAGCTTGAGGAGGTGGCTCTATTCTGTGTAAGATTGTTATTTTACTTCAACCATGTATGCTTATGACTCAAGTCTGAATGCGATCCAAAACGTGTTCCTTTACCCAAACCACCAGAGGCTTGATGTAACAGGTGTTCTTAGAACATACAGAACAGGTACTGACATGACCTACTGCTGCCCCTTGTTCCTTCCTCCCTGCCTTGCAGAAGCTTAGAGCATACTCACTTCACTCGTAAGGAAGGCTGAAACTTGTATTTCCTACCTCCCAACAGACTGCAGGATGACCCAGGTGGATAGATTCCACCTTCCCTATTAATAACAAAAGTATATGAGATTCTTCAACAGCATGATTGCTGCTCTACTGCTCTGGTTTGTCATGAGAAAGGAAGGGTTCCACCATCTGTTTTGGGAACTATGATGTATTTCGTAATTGGCAGATAGAATCCAGAAGCAGATTATAAATGGTATCAGGATTAGACTCCTGCTTCTACATGAACAAAGCTTTTAAATTGCAGTTTCAAACATGCCATTTCACAGAGTGACTTTTGATGTGGTTGCACAGAACACAGCATAGTGAGGCTCAAATCACTGCAGTTCTTCACATCACCTTGAGAAAAAGATAAAGCTAGTACCATATGTGTTCTGTTGGTTTGCTCCCCTTGACAGCATGAATTCCATAGAAGTAACTTTTCTACATGAAACTAGCAAATTCTAGTCTAGTCACAGGCAAGATCTAAAATGGCAGGTACTTCGAAAATTTAAAGCCTTACTTAGTTGAGGTTTAGGTCCCATGTGGACTAGGGTATGGAGGCCAGGACTCATGCCGAGATGCACCGCCCTCAGTCCAATGTCAAGTAAGTAAAGGAGCCTTTACTATTAGGCTCAATGTCTACTAAAACCATGAAACTCTTTGTAAACACCTTTTATTGACAATGTTTTGCAAACACCTTAGTTCATGAACACTGTGTAGAAGTTTCATCCTTTATAAAAGCAAAGCGTGTTTCTTGTCAGGAATTACAAACTTTGTGGATTAATACACATTGCCTGTCAGCACAGATCTGTAACTGTTTTCCCCGAAAGCAGAACCAGGTATTTGTGTATAGAACATCACAGAAATAGTAGAAAACAATTTTTTTGCACCATCCCTCTTTACTGTTGGTTTCAACACAAAGTGAAGACACTTGGACATTTGTTCTTCAGAAGTGTGCTCAGTCTTCCTATCACACCTACTGTTTGGTCTCTGTTTCGATCTGAGTTTCTTGAGATTCTTCAGCTTCTGAAAGTTTTTCATCATCTAAAATTCAACATTACTGTTAGTCAAACATGTTTGGCTATACTTAGACTGCTCGCAGAGCCACGTCCCACTTAAATACTCTATGTTGATTGCCTTAAATGTGTAGTTGAGTATCTCATACAAAATGCTGTGTTCAAATGGAAAAAAAAAATCCTTCAAAGTTTAAGGGTTTTGTCTACAAAAGCTATTGCAGGAACATGGGGTAAACCCTACAGCATCAATTCAAGCAAACGGTACCAGATTGCTTCAACTAACATCCCTTCTTTTTGCCTATTAATGGTTTATTTACTTCAGACTGAAGCTGTGCCTTCCACTGAACTGCTTACTTCCTTCACAAAATCCTAGAACTGAAAGGTAATCTATACACATTCACATACATTTTAGAGACCAATACTTACGCAAGCATTAGTTAACACATAACAACATATCCTTCTGCTAAAATGCACCTAGGATTAACAGTTCATTCTGCTTAAGAAGATCTAGACAGCCTTAGAGAATGAGAGTCTGCTCTTATAGCCATGTATGTATTTAATCACATCATGCTCAAAGGCTATACCAATGATTCCATCTTTGAAAGACATGGCAAATACTCAGCAAATACTATTTAAAACAACACTATCCATATTAGAGCATGAAAAGTAAATGCTGATTTGAAAACATTAAGTATTTGTATGACAAAAGATAAGCATGACTAAATTCCTGAATTTAGCTCTGGTGTATGACAGTTTTAGTCCCTGCCCTATTACAGACTCGCTGTCTGAGCAGGTAACTCATTTTGCTTTCCTGTATTCCAATTTCTCTTTAGCAAAGCCTCAAACAATACCATGATGACAGTGACACGTTCATAACTACCGAAACTGGCATTACACAAACAAGTTTGGAAGTATGCCCAAAAATGCTTTTCTGTAAGAAATACATTTTCTGTTTAAAACCAGAAACAACCTCAAATTACTGTTCTCCACCCCCACATTTTAAAGAAGTCTGTCTACAGACTAATCTGAAGCTAGTCAGGAAATGACACAGTGGCCACTTGGTAGGAGAAAAAAAATCTCTGAGCAGTTTCAGGCTCTGGACTACTACTGGAAAAAACTTACTGCTGATTCAAGGTCCCCAATGTCAGCTGCACACATCTGGCCACTGCTGGAAGCTGCTTTTCATCTGCTGAAACCCACCCCAGTTATAGATAAAATACCCAAGAACACCACTTACTTTCCAGGGTTTGCTGAAGTTCATGGATGGTGCTCAGGAGAACATGAAACTGCTTTCTTCTCAGTTCCAACTGGAACAATAAAACATGTATTTTAGAAAACAGAGCACAGACAGCACATAGCAGATTCTCCACTCATTATGTTCCTAATAATTTATTATCTTACAATCTCTATGAAAAACCTACCTTATCTTCAACATTTTCTTTAATGTGAGAAAGATGTTGCAGTTCTTTTCCCAAAGCTTCCAGCTGCCTGAAAAGAAATTGTTGTAGTGTTCTTTAAAAGTTCTGTAAAATTCTTGCAATTTTGCTAGGTTTTGGTTTCTAGTTTCTGAAGGGCTTCCATTGGGACATATGTTGCTGTTTACACTGTGTGTCAGGTATAAGAAGAGTGAGAGGAGACATGCAATTTTTCTTCCAGTAACATCCAAGCTAGATCTGGAATTTTACTTTCTGCTCCAGAGCAGCTTTGTCTAGCCTTCTCATTTTTGTATCTCCTTTACTAAGACTTGGTGTTTTGCCTTGGTCCTTTTAACAGCTCTTCTGATACTGCACCTAATTATACTGTGGCACTGCCATTTAGTAGTTCAGCTCCTGTTACTTCCTGAATTAGCTCTTGTGTATTACTTGTGACTAAGCTGATAACACCTTTTCTTCCTTTGTGCTGTATGACAAGTTGTTCCAAGAGACAGTCCCTTAAAAGCATAAAGTATTTTTCTGAACTTTGTCCTATTGTGCCTTACAACCTGTAAGGGCTATAAATGTAACTCTTGTAATAAACCATTACATTTCTCCTCACAAAAGGTTTTATCAAGTTTTGTTAGTGATTAAGAGTCCTCAAGAAGCGTGACATTGTCAGTGAGGTTTCCTGAATTCCGATTTAAGGGTGATCCTTCTTGGTTCACAGTCTCATTTTCTGCATGCTTTCCTCAAACTGGAGAGAAAGGAAGCCTTGTAATTAAAACACTGGATGAAAACTTTATCTGGTTCCTATATTGAGAGTCTATTCACTTGGAGAGGTCAGTTAAACCTAAAATACCTAATGAACCAAGGTGCCTTTAAAAATGTTCCATTCTGTAACTATGCCCTATTTCCCCATCTGTAAAATGAGGGATCATATTCTGTTATAGTTCCAGTTTGTGGTTTTGACTCCAGATACAAAGGACTAAGGGCATACACTGTGGCTCTTCTTCCAGAGGACTACACTGGTATTTCTAACTGTAACACACTCTGGTAAATAGATTATAAAGTTCAGTTTAAGAAAAGACAAAACGCCCAATTTACTAGTTGTAACTTAGCACCATTTCTAGCCTTGCTTAAGAAACTTATGCTTGGATGTGTTAAGACAAAATTAGAACAACCCCTCCAAACCTAAACCTGGCATCCTCTAAAAGAAAAAGAAGTATTATCACTTAGGTTTTCCAGTTCTTACCTGATTTATTGAAAACCCTCAATTCTCTAATTCTTTATTATGAAACCTCACTTGATAAATGGCACATGCTGCCTAATGAAGTAGTCAGGCCTCATGAGAATTGCCTGTAATAACTGAAGTTGTGGTAATAAAATCAAGGCACAGAAAAAACCATTCAAGAAAGGAACGTGTGAAATATTCTCAGTGGCTTTATAGCTATAAAAATTCTATTTCTAGGGTAATAGTATCATCAAAAATCTTCCCTTTGCCATGAAAGACCATGGAATATGAACAGACAGCCTCCCTCTGCAGTATCACTGGAAGTGGGCAACAGGATAGGCAAAAGCTGTGCTTAAATGAGAGTAGTAACCCCTTGCTTCATCTCTAACCAGGTTAAGAACAAACTGACAGATGCAGTTAAGTCCTGGAATGTTTCTGGGGCTTGAAGTTAAAAAGATTATCTCCCCACAACAGTCCCAAAAGCACAGATAGTGATCCAAATCCCACAGTGACACAAGCAATACTGTAAGTTACATGCAAGACTAGTTGGACAACAGGTAGGTCTAACCTGCATGCCAGGGCAGGTTATACTATGGTACACCACGTAGTCATTTATAACCGGGCATGCAGGAACAACTACTACAAGGAAAACATCAAAAACCCTAAAAGCTTTCTCCTGCTTTCTCTCATTGTGTGTTACGTATTTTGGGTGTCTAGTGATTCCTTTGCTGGCACACTTTACAGCACTTCCCCACTATCTCTCTTTTCAGAGTAGCCCATTCCTGGTAAACTGACATTAGATGTGCATTCATCTTTGAGTTCACTTATTCACTCTAACTATGGAAACATCCCAAATACAGAATGACCAACAATGTCTCTGAACCTATGCAGGGGGGAGATTAATGAAAGAAAGCTGATAAGGGTACAATTCTAAAACAAACCCCAAGTTTTTCCTGTGTCACAAAAAGCTATATAAAAGCCAGGAAAGGTCAAACTGAAACCAAGGAATGTCAACTATGGTTACTTCCAGCTTACTGGCTTATTATAATTTAACGTAGTCTCACACTTACTTCAGTGTCTCATGTCTGTCTGGATGGTGCTGTATGACTTTAGCCAATGCATCATATTCTGAAAGAAATTGAAATTGTTATCTAAATAATGCTGAAAGTATTGATTCAAGAACCAAAACTCAGATAACCACAGAATGGTACATGTTTTTTCTCCTTCTTGAAAAACTATTTAAATATTTTCCAAATTTATACTTAACACCCTACATAGATTAAAAAAGTACCTGCAAATATACATATATAAAAATGTATGTAATTTATACCATGCTATAACATTTCAAAGTAGATGATAGATCTTCAATAAACTACAAATATGACTGTAGGCCATTATCTACTCACTCAAACTTACCCATTACTAGTGATTAGTTGAGGATGTGGCCACAAAACATGACCTTTAGATAGCTCTGCATTGCTGCATACTTGGTCATTTGTATGATCAAAGCATTGGTTTTAGATACAGACTAATGGGTATGTACAGAAAATGGTGCTGATGTTACACATAGACATTTTTCTAAAAATCTTAAATGTTTAAAATGCTGCATGAGAAGCAACAGGATTTTTTTAAACTGTATTGCACATTAAGAACAGTATTACAGTTACACAGGCAATTAACATAGCCATTTCCTGATAGTAAGATAGTACATATGTCAACTGCCTCATTCACATGGCAAAATCCATGCTGCAGGCTGGACAGAACATAGCAAAAAGCAAACGCTTCAGATCTCTGTGAAGATGTAAGAGCTCTACATTGCTACTGGTTAAACTTCTTTTAATTTTCATCTGAGTCTAAAATTATTCACAAAATTGATCAAACAGTTGTATTTAAAACCTTTATTCTGTTATACTCCTAAACATTCTCATTTAGCATTTTGATCCTGTCCATAAAAAACCAAATTATCATCTTCCACCGCTAATCTTCTGATAAAACTATGTTCTATTTCTATTGAAACTATCAGCACATACTTTTAAGAGTAGGAAAAAAATACAACCCTCGTAACAGGTTCAGTGAGGACACAAACAGTGTTGCTGGGTGCGTAACTGGCACCACTGTCTCCATGTATGCCAAGACATTACCTTTCCTTAAGAGCTGAAGGAGTACACTTGCATGACCTTCGGTGCTGGGTGTAAGCTCATTCAACTTGTCTCACTGTTCATAATGCACTTAAGTTCTTGCCAAGTCACCTGAATTGGACTGGATGCTTTTGGGGTTTTTCTTTGGCCTGAAAATATCATACTATTTCAGGCTTTCCTGATGTTGCACATCACTGAGATCTACTGGTTCAATCTTGCCTGCCTCATTCACCAAAGCCTTTCAGTAGTGGGTGTGGAACCTGTCAGGCTAAAACCCGTATTCAGGATGCCAGTATATTCCATTGCACCTTGTAAAATTTGAAATCTGTTTTCCAACACAATGTATTTTAAAAGCCAACCAGACACTGGGAACTGCCCAGTGTACATACAGGTATTGCTCCTTACCCTGGCGGTTTTTTCGAATCCTTTTTGCTTGCAGGATTTGCTTTTTGCATTCAGAAATCTTCTCATGTGCTGCAGCTATGCTATTTTCTTAAAGGAAAAAAGAAAGTATAGTTATACTGAAATCAAACAATACATGTAAAGAAGTCGTTCTGCTAAATTACAAAGAGAGATAGAGCTGTTTGTGGCACAGTGGCCTGCCAGCTCCATGAGTTTCAAAACTACACACATTTCAATAGGTCAAAAAATCCCTTTATTTCTATTGCAGCAAGTCCAGAGGAGGCCACGAGGATGATCAGGGGCTAGAGCACCTCCTGTATGAAGACAGGCTGAGAAAGTTAGGGCTGTACAGCCTGGGGAAGAGAACCTACGTGGAGACCTCAGTGCAGCTTCCAGTGTCTGAAGGGAGCTACAAGGATGCTGGAGAGGGACTCCGCATCAGGGACTGTAGTGGTAGGACAAGGGGTGATGGGTTCAAACTGAAACAGGGGAAGTTCAGGTTAGATACAAGGAAGGAAGTTCTTTACTATGAGGCGGCTGAGGCGCTGATAGAGGGTGCCCAGAGAAGCTGTGGCTGGCCCATTCCTGCCGGGGTCAAGGGCAGGCCGGACAGCTGTGGCTGCCCCATTCCTGCAGTGTTCAAGGCCAGGCTGGACACAGGGAGCAACCTGCTCTAGTGGAAGGTGTCCCTGACCACGGCAAGGAGTTGGAACTAGGTGATCTTTAAGGTCCTTTCCAACCCAAACCATTCCAAGATTCTATGTATTTTATATATTGGTGAGATAATTACAGCATATGAGTGCTATCTATTAAAAAAAAAGAACCCTAAACCACTCATGTATCTAGCATGTTCATAAAAGAGAAATTGTCAGGCAGAAAACAGTAACATTTCTCACTTTACCTATGTCCTTATAGATTTTTTCATAATTTTCCATTTCTCTCAGGTTCATATCATACACCAGAAGAGTTTTTCCCATTGAAAATTCACACTGGGATAAAGTACTCAGCATTCGTTGGTACTGGGTGTATCTGAAAACAGACAAGATAATTATTTGTATGCATTTATTAATCATTTATTAAATCTTTTATTTTCATATTTATTAAGCTACTTATTCCCAAGCAGCATAAGAATCCCCCCTACCTTTACAAAACAAGAAAACAAACCCTTATGTAGCATAAGGGACAGTTAAACAGCAATTCTTAACCAGAGAAAGTATTTCAAAGACTCGGTGTTTCTTTCTTTGAAAGTTCAGGTAGAAACACTGCACCCATTAATGCCACCATCGTGTCCTTACAGCTGTAAAGTGATTGCTAAAGCAATGGGCAGATTGATTGAGGGCTTATAAACTTCCCACCTTGGGCTGGCTCTGTGACCACCAAGATCAGTATTTAAATGGTGCACTGCTTCTGTGTAAACACAGTCATTATACCGTGTCCTTTGGGAATTTATATCCAGTGCTAGCAGGGATCCCACAGCAGAACAGCGCGTTGTCACTCATCCCTTCCCACTTTAGCCTGGTTTGGGGGTTTGTTTTTGGTACTTAAACATCAAAGAGAGAACCGCAGCAGCAGAAATACCAGCAGCACTCCCTTCCCTAACAGAACAAGTGCAGAACTGCCAACTAAAATATCCGAGTCATGATCCTGTTATAATAAATAGCGGGACTCCCAGATGGATCATGCAGTGGCACGACAATCCTGAGGGCATTGGAGTGGTTCAGGCAGATTTGATGATACAGCCCTGCAGCCTGCAGTGATTTCTGATCTGCCTCTAGTCCTCGTTTCCTACCACAGGGCTCGGCGTTTGCACTGGGAGCACCACAGAGCCACGCTGAAAAGCACATGTACACGCTCTAACACGGATCTTTTCCAAACGGATCAAGCCCGCTTTTCCGCTGAAATGCAAGCTAACCAGTTCCAAAACTAAAACAAACAAAATCGGGAAACAAATACCCTTCCTCTTGAGATCCGGAATTACACCACTTAATGAAACTCTTCACCAGCAAATTGATCCGCCTGTCGTCACCAGCACCATCGCCATCGATCAGAAGTCGCTTGCGGATAACTTCATCTGAAGGGAAAAAGAACCTCGTTTAATGCCTCACGCTGGGGCAGCCGCATCCCAGAGC